TGAGACGCGGAATGAAGTCACACAATGCATCCGCCGGCTGTGCACAGGAGCAGACAAGTGTGGATTGGAGGCTTTTAAGATAAACTTTCGATGCCGATTGGCTTTCGTGAAGGTGTGCTTCAAAGCTGATGGCTGTGTCGCAGGTGGATGTAGGAGAGCAATGAGTTTCTAGAGTTGAACTTCTGCCTAGGCTCCATGATGAGTTTGCTTGTCTAACTTCTTTAGAACGCGTATTTCAACTCTTTCCCTCTGTTCAACAATGGCTTTTCCCTTTTAACAAAGATGGCTTCCTTCACCCTTCTTTCAAAGCATCTGTTGGCTCTGTCCAAAACATGAACATTTTGGTCATCAAAGGGTGTGTCCTCTGTTCTTCAGATGAATCTTGACCAAAGCTGCTGGCTCTCCTGTCCTGAGACAGGTTTGTTGTTTTCTCCTCTGTGTTTGATGCAGTGTTGTTCTTCCTGATAGTTTTTGACTTAAAAAAAGCAAAATTTTAATATTGAACAACACTCCTGGATTGAGCTGGCTTAATTACTAACCCCATTCACCTGTCTAACTCTGCCTGGTTTCTAATTAATGCTCATCTGAACCACCTGCTCCTGCCTCTATTTATGGTGCTTGCATCCAATCAGCAAGCCAAGTTATCTTGTTCTCTTTAGTCAGCGGGGAGAGTATTTTTTTTTAGAGTTCCTTGGTGTTTCTGATTACCTGATCCTGACCTGTTCTGCCTCCCAACCACTGAGCCTGCCTGTTCCTGTTCAGATCTGTTTACCTGACCTGACTTTAGACTCCTGCATGTTCTCTGGAGCTGCAGCATCTGGGACACTCTGGGCAGCGCTGCATCTTGTTAGCAGCCACTGGCTGGATCCTACCTTGTTCTCTGGGCACGGATTGAACTTTTAAACCAGGTTAGTGACTAACGTTCAGAATGTTCCTCCGTTTGATTTACGTGGTCACTAACCTGCCTCAGACGCCCTGGCCGCTGCTACAACAGATCTGTTTTTGATAAACACCGTTTGGCTATGTTCACACTGCAGGCCTTGATGCTCAATTCCGATTTTTTTGCAAAATCCAATTTTTTTACATTGCCGTTCATATTTCCAAATATATTTCACTTGTATGTGATCTGCTGTGTGAACCGCAGTCATGCAACGGAAGTATCCTGCATGCGCAGTAGAGGACGCGATGATGTCACAGGCTAGCGTGCTCTTTTTTTCCGATAAGTAAACATGGATGGCCGGCCATCTAGCGATCTTTTCCAACCATAAAAACACAATCTTTTCAAAATGGTTAAACATAAATACTGCTCTCTGCATCATCATCTGACATTGTTGTTGTTTTTTTTGCCGCTTCTGCGTAGCAAGACGCAGAATAGTGACCTTTGTCGGGTATTAATGACGTTCAGGTCGGATGAATGCGACCTGGC